ATATTCTTGAATAGTTGGTCTTTGAAAATATCCGAAAATCTAGACCAGAATATCCCTCAAGAAGTGTAAATATAGATAACGCCAAAAACAACTTTTCACTTTCTATATTCGACACGTTTTTCCTATTTTGAAATATGCAATATTTGGTATTTCGAGTAAACAATTTTGTATCTATATTTGCAAATATTAATTTACTATTTTTTAAGATAGATATTCATTGCAAACATTTTTTTAAATGATTCATACCTATTGAACAAATACCTTCAAAATATTTCGACATGTGCAATTTAAATTTGATGAATTGCGAACGTTTGATGGAAAATATGGAATTTTCACCGGAACGAGAAACGACTGATGAAGCCATAAAAATAGATGAAAAAATGTAACATGTTAATTTTGTACGTATTGAATTTTCCGAGTTCTACTATCAGGTGTAATAAAATGTAAAAAAAAGTTGGAATATAAAAAGAATGTTACGCAGAATTTCGCCTATGTAACTAAATATTTAATGTAAATGTTTATAAAATATTGCGAAACTACCATGAAATCTATATTCCATAGCACACAGTTTGTTTCTGACAAAAAATTTGAACTATCGACTATCCGCATATTATAAACACGTTGATATTTTATATTTTGTACTGCACTCCATCGTACAGGTAGGCAGGCAGGTACACATACACATTATTCTGCGGTATTGATTAATATGGTACTGCACGGTTATAATACCCTGGAAACATGCAGCGTATGTCGGAAGTTATGAAACACGAACGTGCCCAAACTCTGCCGCCCTCATCGGCGCCCATCAAATGCGCCCACTTGCATTCCACCTGGTGGATGAAGCCCCCCACCTGGGGATAAGCGATAGTAAAGAAATATCGATACAAAAATCGGTAATAAATAATATTTTAAACTTGATTGCAGTTGATGAGCATTACAGAATTTATTAACTTCCAGTAGGGCAAGTTTTCTTTATTTTGACATATTTTGGAAATTCTGAACTTTTTTTTAAAGCAATCGTACTGCTTTAACTGCATCGAGACGAAATACAAATTCGAAAATTTGTATCCGCACATACACACACGCACGCACACACACACACACATACAAACATTTTTTCTAAGGTATGCCAAAATATTCAGAAACCTCTGAAACGTAAAGATATATAAAAATTTTCATTTTCGATTTTTTTGAAGAAATGAAACTTAGTTATGAAATCATATAAGAGCAATATAATTCCAATTCAGATCAACATGGATTTAAAGATGAACCAGATCTCAATTCATATACAATTATTAATTCCGTGGGCTCCTCACAGTTGTACAAAATTAATCAACTTCCCCATTGATTAAAATCATTCATCGGAAATTTTGGAAATCTATTCCAACGAAAATTATTACAACCCTTAGTTCGTGGATCGATGACCCGCTGTCATATGATCGTTTTATAGGAGTAATAAGATCAATTTATCGGTTTCCCGGTTATTATTAACGCTGATCATAGTCGCATACCATAATGATGAAGATTTGGGTCAGAAGATATTACTTGTGGGATATAAGTAATTTCATTTCAGTATGTACATAAACTTGGAAGATAAATGTAGCGCATTTTATAATAAAATCTGTCGTTCAACTTAGGGGTAATAATATTTGTAATGGTGATCAGGATTTTAATTTATTGGTAAGATTCACTATAATCTTTAATTTGCATTTAAACTATAATCTATATAATTTGCATTATAAAGTACTGACATGTACTGATACCAAAACAAGTTACCTATATAATATTCATATATGATAAACAAATTCGTAATAATTTTACATAATTTAATATAAACTTCGTACGCGATGAAAACTTTTATAGAATTTCATTAAAACTTTAAAATGATATTTAATTAATACCTATACATCATCGTATTCAATATCACATTATATGCATAGATATTTTAATGAAAGTTCAAATTATATTTCATTGGCATTTTTAAATTATTGAACAAGAGTTCATACATGTTTTTTTTTTAATATTTTTTTTTGGTAAAATTATTTTTGGTTCATTGCATTTCGATTCTGGGTATTCAATTATGTATTTTGCGAATTAAAAGTTTTATATATATATATATATATATATATATATATGTGTGTGTGTGTGTGTACGTGTGTGTATTATATTTATATTCAAATTGAATTATGTCTGAAAACTTTTATTAAAAACATCCGAATTAAGCGAGGGATATCATTACAAACTTTTAAAAATGTTACATTCAGTATTCAGGTGAATACCTACAGAATATCATTCAAAATATATTTCTGAATAAGTTTATTTTAAATTGGATTTCATTGTACATTTGACTATCAAGACACGACAGAAGTTTTTTATTAATTCGATCATACCGAAAAGTTCTCAACAAAAGAACACTCTTTTGCAAATGAATATTTCAGATTTAAATAGCATACATTGTTAGATGGGAAGTGTTTAAATAACTTTTTAAATGATGTCTTTTTCGTGAAATGAAGATATTCTGATATTGTAAAGGATCGGATCAATAGAAATATTTAAATCAAAAATCGTTTAGCTTCTTTAAAAACGATTTAGTTATCTACACATTTATGTGGTTTTTAATATATAAAAAAATATTTGGCAAAAAATTGTCAATACGTCCATCCACGCTTTTAATTAACAGAATGATTTTTTTCAATTTAAATCATGAAACCTAATTCTAATTTCCATTTGAAAATAACGTATAATAAAGATAAGTATAAGATCATGACTTTCTGCATAGGTAATTTCATTTATAATTTTTCTGAACGCCTCTTTTTAAAAAATAGAAATTATTTAATTTGTCATTCATAAATATTTTTACTTCTCAGGGATAAGGGATCCTTTTTTAAGGAATTGCTGAATTTCTTTTTTAAAATTCAACCATTTTTTCACAAAAAAGCTACTGCCTGCAAAATACTACATTTTTTAATATATGTAAAATTGTTTAAAAATAGTAAAATTAGTAATTTACCATTAGCATAGTACTTACTAAAGAAAAGTCTATAGAAGATCTTGGAAAAAAAGTAAATCGGTTCAGTAAAAGTAGAGAAATCGTGGGTATCGTATCGAAAAAGACAGTTTCGAGAAAAACGCGTTCAAAGTTTGGCAGTGGAAGCAAATTTTGGAGGATTGTCGTGTTGAATCTGCTATATCTCCGAAAATAATTAAATAATTTAAAAAACTCTTTTTGTACACATATACTTGAAAAGCTCAACCTTTGACCTTTGATTGACCTTTTTTAATTCTAGACTAGGATAGCTCCTTAATAAATCTAAATATTAAATAACATTTTCAGATAGACCACTTTGTAAAATATATTTGTTTGAATTATCATACATATTTTAAATGAAAATGTTAAATAATTATACGACGTTTCTGTATATGAAATGTGTCGATTCGTATTTATTTTTCATTCGCTGATGTCGCATTTAATTTCAATACATTTTACATTTACTCTTCGGCGAGTTGTTCGTTGTTATGAAATAAAAGTTTTAATGAATAATTACAAAGCGCCGTGTAACTGCGGATCACGGTTGTAAAAAAGAAAAAAATATGCGAAACGCAGGAAAGCCTGACGTGAAAAAAACAGCTGACGAATGAAAATATATAAAAACGTATATAGCAAAAAAATTGAAAACAGAATAGTAAAAAGAACAACTAGCGACATCGCTCTGAAAACATTTCACTGGAAAAGTTTTGCAACAAAATAATTACCAGTTTGTAGATAGAGTACGATACACCCGCCGTTCTATGATACCCGCCGTGATGCGGAATAAAAGTTTATCTAGTTAAAGTTCCGACTTGTGTGTTGCTGCCAGCCTGTCCGTCTAAATATGAACTCCATCGTTAATATTTTGCAAACTACGAATTTATACTCATTAGTAATTAACATAGTTCATAGAAAATTTTTAATGAGGTTGCCTTCATTGTGAGACGCCGACAGCAAAATGCTTGGTTAATAAAAATCATCTTCCTGATATAATTTTATACTACATTCAAGGTATTATTCAAAACTTAATCTAATCTATTAATCCAAAATTTAATATCATTTATTCTGTTTTACAGATGTTGCACCTGATAATTTCACGGAAGAACTTCCACCTTCAACTGAAATGCCAGCGCAAAGAGATATCTATGTCGAGAAATCGAGAGCTAGTCCAGGATCAGAAATTCCAATATCAACTGCTCAGCAAAGAGAAGCTCCAGCATATGTTGCTGTACTGATAGGTAAACTACAGAACCAACAAAAAATATATAAAACTATCCTCAAATCATATCTAGAAATATATAAAATATTTCTTTTATCCAGGTGTCTTAACAGCAATAGCCCTTCTACTATCGGTGGCAGTATTTTTCATAATACGTCGTCATCGTAGAAGAAAATGCTTTGCAAGTCCTTTGACAAGTAAGCAGCAACCACAATTAACTGCTTCACAAATGCAGCAACAGCAAATGGCTGCTGCAGGAACTCTTTGTCTGGGAGGTGGTTTGAGCAATGAGAAAAATCCTTCGTATGCCATTAACGATTTGGAGGACTACACCAGCAGGTAATAATAGAAATAGTGAGGAGTATTAGATCATTCCGAACATAAATTGAATTGTTTAAAATATTTGCATTTTGCTTATTGAAGTAGTGGATAGTTGTCTAATGAAGCGATTCCATCCCGATAAGTTTCATAAATACATTAGCTTTTATTTATATATGCATCACCATTAATCAAACTACCATGACAAACAAATCTGATTGAAGAATAATTGCTCGCTCCACAACTTATTCATATCCATTTTCTGCACAGCTCGCATTATACCATGCAAAATCCATTATGCCCATCGTACCTCGAAATAATATTTCAATTACATATCTTCTCTTTAATCTTAATGCGCATGTAAATAATCTTTTAACACGTATGCAAATATTAAACTTGATTCGTTTTTAAATCCCTCCCGTTTTCCATTATCAGATGCAATATGTCAACTCTGCCGGTGCCTCATTTGGATCGCGACTCGATGCGTATGCGTGACCGCCTGGTTGACATAAAGATGGATGATTATCAGGAACCTTATCAGGCCCTGAGATATGCACCTTATTACAGCTATTCCACTGTGGTCATGGAAATGCAGGATATGCTGCCGCCTTCAAACCAACACTCGGGTAAGTCGGAATTTGAAATACTTATCTTTATTCATTTTATCCCTCTCATTGTATAAATAAAGCAAGTCAAAACAATGATTGACTTCATCCTCGACCATTTAGATATGCACGAGCCAAAAAAGGTTGGCACTAATTTTTTGCGTCAATCTATCGACTTCGATATGATGGTACATAGGAGCACTGGAAAAACTTTACATTGACGGTTCCTGATTTGCTTAAATTAGTCGTAAACTGATGACTAATAATGGTCGATGCTTATGAGCTCTATCAATTACCTTCGATGTTACGCGAAACATTTGTCCACTGCTCTCATGCATATTCAAAGAGTTCTAATCGTTAATAAAGGCGATTACTTTGAAGCAGGAAAATAAATATTACATGTGTACATAAGTGCGATGAAGAGCGCATACAGTTTAACTATCACATAATGCACGCGTGCACGCACCTTCGCGTGTTCTCGATCTTGATGTCTAGGGTTTGCTCGTTTTTTTTTTATTTTTCGGAAAATGGGAAAACGCACAACGGGTGCCGCCCGACATTATGCTGCAAGGGGAAAATGACTGGCGAGTGTATGGAAAACTCGGCGTTTACAAATGTAACTGATCCGAAAAATGACCGGTGTAATAGTACAACAGATTACATTTAAATGGATATATGCATGCACAAAATGAGCTTTGTTATAACAGTTACATACAGTTATATACTCTATATTAATAGTAAAACCATTTTTTCTTTGTAAAGTAGTAAACTGTGAAATGCACTTGCTTTAGAAACGCAATTGTATCCTTTAGTTATGGCATTGAAGTCGTGAAGTCTCCTACAAAATAAGCCACTTAACGAGATAGTAAAAAAGCAGAACAAAAACACAATTCTTTATTCTCTTCTAAACCCGTGATTTAATTCGTTTAAACTACGAATTCTTTAGCGGTCGTGATCATTAATTAGTCGCAATTCATCTTAACAACCCACACGGATTATAAGGTGTTTTATGGCGAAATCGTGATGCGATGTGAAAGATTGCTCTCAGATACCGTACATAGCCCGACGGAACTTTAAGATTTTTAATTAACATGACCGCCAGACAGATTACGATTTTAGATAAAGCTCTCGATCAAAAGCTCAAGAGCAATCGAGATGCATCTGCAGAGGAATGATCGTAATATGGCCCGATGCCAAAAACATATTGAAAAATACGAACTACATAATAAAAAAATTCAATAATAAGTTCTCGTTGTTACAATACCTTTAACTCTTAATGAAAAACATGCTCTTATTTTTTGGATTGTGTTGTATATGTCTTTGCAAATCAAATGATTCAAATTATGGGATGTTAGCGTTGCTTGTTTAGTATGTTAGAATGTTAGTATATGCTTTATTTTGTGTGTTTAATTGAGATATCTCCATATTATTTACCATAAATCCAGTTATGTATATCATACCTACTACCATACCTAGCGGAATACGATAGCTACTAAATTCCCTCATATGATAATAACATGAATCCTCCATAATCTTGCATGACAAATGAAGGTTTGTTAAGTAAAGAGTCATCCCGCTATTCCATTGTCCGGAGTCAGATTATGTGTGAATTTTTTATGAGGAGTTGATTCAGTGACGGCATACTCATTTTATGTAGGTAGCTACGAGGCATAATAAAAAAGAAAATTAGCTTCTTGCGCAAGAGACATCTTCTAATTAACGTAGACGAGATTCTCTGCTAGAAGTTATGTGTTTGTACAAAACTGAGTTTGCAAACAGGAAATTTTTCAACAATTTCCGTAGGCGGTGGAGCATTGTTTCAAGAAAAAGTACATTATTTTTTCATATTTAATTATAACATACTTCTACCACAGTTTTAAATTATTTTCTTAATTGTTTACACGTTTTATTTAGAATTATTCAAGTGAAAAAGATGAAGAATTAATTTCTCAACATCCGATAGCTAATTATTACAAAATTAGCGACTGTTTTCTTGAAACTAAAATTTGAATAATAACTAACATGTACTTTCCATCCTATCGCCTACCGATTGAATCGATACTAACGTGCCCACGAAAATTACATAACCAAAATCAGGCCACAAATCCATAATTCATTTCCATCCCATTACAATAAGCGGTCACCAAAAAGTTCATGAGCCCAACATATCATTATGTAAAAGAATAACTAGACAGAAGAATAGAAGTTCTTGTTCTACACAATAGAAGAATGAAGAACAACTGGCCAACTATAGTAGTTGTGCACCACCATCATGAGCATTGTGTGATCAGTAGGAAGTGTTCCTGAACCGCGCATTGAATAAGTGATGACGCAATTAGTGGTCTGGTATCAGGGATCAAGTGAATACATACATTCTGACAATGTGGATTTGGAACTATGATACTTGGGCCGGAATTATACATACATAGGGTTTGCGAACTCTAGGTGATGTTTTAATATTCATCTAAGAAAGCTGGCGATGGTTTGGAATTGGATTAGTATTTTATGTTGGATATAAAACTGATTGAGGCTGACAGGGCAAAGAATCTGGTAATATTATATTAAATTATAGATATAATAGGCAATCTGAGACTGAAGTAAAATGTTAAGAAAATTGTATGGAACTTCTCGCCGATAGGAAGAGCGAGCGTTAGAAGCCTTTTCAATAAGTATATATAAAAATTGTTTTCTATTAAAAATGATTAGAAGTTTTTATAAGTCATTTTCAAGTATACTTACAGACATAACAAACAAATCAGTCGAATATCAGTGTAAGTTTAAAAAAATACTATAATTCATTGACAAAAAAATGCTCTAACAAGGAGAACCTCAGGTTTACTCTTCTGGCATATTGATGAAATTTTGCATGTTGATAGAGTTGATAGTCAAACCGAACAGTTTAAAATATTATAGGCCTATGAGAAGTAGTTTTATTATAAAAAAATATAAAGTTTTGAAACATAGACCGCAAGCAATACATACGCCTACAGTGTTCCATATTAGTACATCTTAGCTTACTTCCCTGAAAGTGTGTATATTTGTGATCAAATTACAGACGCATTTCTGCAGCTAAAAATTTACCTTACACTCGGATTATACTTTTCTAACAACAAAACAATTCTTAGTTTTTTAATAGCATTTTATTACACACAAGCGACACGGTTCTGCTGCCGTAACTTTATATCGGACGCGGCAAAAGTTGCTAATTAGCGTCGCTTGAACAGCAAGAACAGCAACAACAACGGCAAAGCCCAAGTTACAAGAGAAACGGCGAACATTTAGAAAAACGTGACCGTATCGCGATATAAAAACCTAGGAGAATATCATGTTTGATACGGCATTGTTTTATTATTTATAAAAATACATAGGTATATGCTTGTATCATAATATTTGATGCGTAACACCAGGTGGTAAATACTGCCTCTGCAGCCAGAATTATTATTTTCGAATAGTGTTTATGGCAATAATATCAATCAAATATTTCTTACTAAATATTATGAATTCTGAAAGTAGATATTAAGTTTTAATGCATGTAACTAGATCTACGAGTTTCGAATGTCTATTTTTGCATACCACCTACATGATATCTGTCTATTATCACAATTTAAATATTTTAATAATTTATACAAGTATGATTTATTATATTGCGGCCACATTAAACATGTAGAAAATCGTATATGTTTATGTCAATTGAGATTAATAAATCGCATTATAATTTAGAGCAACTGGTCATATCAAATGGAATGAAATATAAACTCGTGTAAACAGAGTGATATATTATAATATATATAATAGTGTAAACTATAATGTTTAAAATTGAAGCCATCATACGACTCTAAAATACGTATTATTGGATATTATTGGTATGTTGTGTTTGCTGGCTTTAGGAGTAAGGCGATCCTTTTGCTTTTGTTCATAAAATCCTGCCAAATTGATAATAAAGTTGTAAGCGCTCGTATAACATGAATGCATGTACTTTACTTTTTTACGCAAGTTGAGAATCTTCAGGATTGTATAAGAAGATGATACATAAACTGTTGAATCTAACTAAAACCATCAATACATTTTATAAATTAAATATATAACGTATACTTAAACATTATATTCAAGTGTCGTGAACTAAACAACAGTGCTCATAAAATGCTTTTGTTAACAGTTTTGTTAATTGACGACAATGTGGCTGTTTATCTTCTGACAACAAAGTCGTATGATTTAAGGCGTTGGCTGGTTACCCATCTATTGGCCTCTACTCTAAAATTGTATTGTTGAAAATACCGCCCTTTACTTGCTTTTGGGATGATAGCGGAAGACCTTTCTACCAGCGCTCCCGAAAGCTCCAGTCTACATCAATATTAATATAAGGCTCAAATAATTTTTACGAGCATCAAGACTAGTAAAAACTCTTCTCTTTTAAATTTTTTATTACCCACAAGTGTTTTTAATTCATTCTTAATTCAGCGACCCACACATCCGTGGTCTCCATGGATTTACTCGCGTGTCGCACCGACGGGCACGCTCGGACAACACCTATTAAAGATCAGCGTCGATAAAATCTCAAATCGGATTTATCGATTCCTAAAGTGTGCACGAGGAAAAAATAATTACATTTTTATTGCATTTGTCCGGTGTCGATGAAATCTATTTACAAGTTGTTATTAACACACACGTATCACTACACGGAATAGAAACACTTAGGCTAGCATTCTGAGAAAAAACAGAATTTACTTATAATAAATATATTTGATTAATTAAATCCACGAATAAAAAGGAAAACAAGTATGTAAAGTCATATATCTAGGTAGCCAGTAAAAAACGTAACATAACATAACAAAAGCTCAGTGTAGTTATTCATTGCACAAAGGGCATGTTGTGTACTAATCACAACATCCAATTTAATTTAGGTCAACAATATATTGACGCATTAATTTTTTATATTTTTATTTTCAGACACTTCCAACTATGATTACGCCGTGCCAGAGTTGGGGACTGCACCTTTGCTACCTCCAGAACGTGGGGTTAGTGGGGCAAGCAGCACCATAAGCAGTGGAACCACCGGTTGCGAACCCAATGAGGTTGGATATTGCAGAGGAGGGCCAGGTCAGTGTACGAGGAGAAGGCAAGAAGGTAAGAAATTAGGAAACCAACTTTCTAGATGTCAAGCAGTAGTACCTCCATCACTTAAATATAATAACGATATGCCCTCATCCGGGATTGAAGAAATTGAATACAAAATTATCACATAGAGATGAGACAGTTTTTTGTTGCCATCTGTAAATCTACCTAGTATTTTCATATTTTATTCAAATTTTTATTTAAACTATTATCGAATACAAAAGACCACGATGTTAATTAAATTATTATTACCATCATGCATTACTCCTACAATTTTCATAAACGTTTACCATCGGATGCGTGAGTTTTCGAATTAAGAACACCGGGCGGCAAAATATCAGCCGGTATTTATGGAAAATCTTTAATACGCGTCTTAGTCATGGTTGCACCAACATTAATATTAATTTTCAACGCCGTTAATTGTGATTAATTATTATTTTAATTACGTGTACCAGCACCGTCCGTCGCGCCGTCGCAGCGAGAAATTTGTTAACGTGCATCTCTCCATGTTGCGAATGGAGACTTACATTAAGATTAATGTCGTAGTTCGGAACTTTGAAAATGCAATTTATAATTAAACGTTTTCATGTGCGATGTAAATCAAACTTGCCAAAATGTTAATAAGTGGTTTTTGTAATTAAGATACCAGATTTCACCAGAGAGATGAAGTAATTCGATAACCTATTAAAGGCTACTTTTTGTGGATTATGCTTTAACTGATTTCTTCATTTTTGTAAGTTTTAAAGTTAATTTAACAAATATTTATTGACTTTTTTTAAGAGTCCGACTCAACAAGATGTTCTCAATGCCTTGAAGAAACGCCTAGAACAAACATCTGTGCCCGAATTTCCTAGACATAGATTGCGAATGCTAAGCAAATTAGCCGATGGAGCATTTGGCACTGTAAGTATCAATTTATATATACATATCCTTAAATAAATCTTCACGCAATTAAAACTCCAAATACATCCTAGAACGTTGACAGGACGTAGTTCAATATAATTTATGTCATTAGGTGTATATTGCGGAAGCAGATGGAATTCCAGAATACGGTTCCCAAACATCCTTGGGCAAACGACTGGTTGCTGTTAAATTCTTACTTCAAGATGCTTCGGAGAAAGAAAAGTAAGTAATAGGATGTACATATTTTAATCAAATACAGTGCAACAATCAACTTAAACGCATTTAAAAAATGCGTATTTTTGCTGAATTTATTACTAAAACATGTTTCACAGCGCGCTATCAATCTTCACCTCGGGTCGTTTACATAAAATGTAATTTAATATCTCAAAAAGCATGCATTTTATGGTCCGTTGCCGATACGAGCAAAAATAACGCGTATTATCCATTCTCCGAAATCCTGTCACGCGGGTGTGGTGTTCATTTTTTTAACCGGACATAAAAATCGTCAATAACCACACCGCGTCGCCGTAAAGTAGCGAATGTTAGAGAGAACGCTAAAATATTGAATTATTCCTCGGCCTAATGGACGAGCCTTCGAATTCGCACAAAACGTATTGCGTGTCTAGACGGCATCATAATTTCATATGTAATCACTGGCCGTGGCTAAATAATATACCGTGGAGCCTTTGCTGTTTCAAATCTCGGGTAATCTCTTAATGGCGGTTGCATAACGCGCCCGCCCCGCGAAGGAGGGAGAGAGGGTCTCACGGTCGGTGCGCACCCCGGTGTTGCAAAAAATCTTAATTGCACGGGTAGAAAGCTCGCTCACTTTCTCTTCGTCCGAAAACGATAATGTATTAAAACAAAACGGGTGCCCGTTGATTTTAATTTGATTGAAACGCTTTCTGGTGGGACATGTATTTACAATTCCATATCAATTTATAAAATTAATATTTTTCTGTAGAAGAACATAAAAGCCTAAAGTGATTCATGAATATCAACGTACTACGACTATACTTACAATATGCCCAATGGTAAAACTAGCAAATCAATTTCTAATATAGTCCAACCTCAACTATAAATAATACTATTTTTCGGTTAAATGCATTATTCAAGTAATAATTTTTTCAACTTCTCGTAGGGTAGGTCACTGCTATCGTACGAAAATCGGAAATGAAAATTTTGCATATCTTTACGTTCTTGAGGTTACTGAATATTTCAAATTTTCTGAAATAGCATTTTTTCAATTTTTAAATATTTCAAAAGTTCTGAAAATTTTCAAAAATGTTGGATTTTCTAAATTCTCAAAATAATCTAATTCTATCCTGAGCTTTTAAAAATTTCGCTTTATCTAAGCCTATCCATTTCAAACATTTGAAACAAAACAAACTTATTAAATCCACCAAATTAGGTTCGTTAAGACCTCTCATAACTTATTAAAGCATACCCTTTTCCATCATATTATGACTTTTCCTTTTATCTTATATAATAATCCGGCTTTTTTCCCGTTCCACAAATGTGCAGTCATTTCTCTTTCGGCTAATAGTAGTTTATGAATAATAATTTACTCCAAACACGATACACAACGTATAGAAAACGCCAACTTGCGTTTTTCCTTGATGGATTGAATGAATATGAAAATGTTAAGGGCGGAAAATACACAAGAAAACTGACTATGTTTTATACTAGATAAACATAATTAAAATATTTTTTTCCTGATAACTGTTTGTGATAATAAATATCATTCGTAATGTAGGGACCCATTTTGTGTGTTTGTATTTGATTTAGTAGTACATGAGAGGTTATTGCGACCGTAATGTAATTATTTAATCACAGTCATTAGAGTTTCCCAACCAGACTATTTACTTTATTACCAAACCCGATATCGTAATAGCTAAATGTGTATTACTATCTATTAAACATATAATGATTTTAATTACACGAGTGATAAAATATATAATACAGCTTGTAAATAGCAAAATAAATTTGCTGTTTTATTTACTTAGTTATCGGTAGCATCCACATAATGCTAATAATATATATTTAATATTCATGGGCATAATACAGAATTCTAGTTGAATAAATAGATTAGGTATTGTACATAAATAGTCATTCTAATTATAATTAATTATTACATTTGATCGTACATGATTCTATCATGATTTTGTAAGTATCGAAAATGATTTTGAATCCCAATAAATTTATTGATCGTCGATTTTTTCATCTGTCCATAAAGCAAGCATATAGTGTCTGTTTCGCACACAGAAGTGTTAGATATATGGATATCCTTCGTATTCAATATTCAATAATTCATACAGTGCATGGTGTCAGACCAATTCACATAGCAGAACATTTTTCGATGAAAAACAAGAAAATTTTATGCGGGAACACGTATCCAGCATTAAGTATTTTATCCGTCCCCGTTGTTACAGAATGTCGCGACCTCTCATTCGGGAAAAGAGAAATGTTGAAAGAAAGAAAATTAATAGATTTATAAGGATGGAATATATTCAACGTCTATGGGAAATGGAATTATATCAGTGAAAAATGTGTAAGTTAGAGAAAATGAATTCAAGTGACACACTGCCGTTGTGGGATTGATTTTAATATGAATTTTGAGAATTCAAGTTCATTTTTAACTACTTAATATCATATGAGTAAGTCTTTTAAGGCGATACACCAAATGAAAGACAAAGATTTCAAAATTAATCTTTGATTATTAAAAACATTCGACATAAGATTTTATATGCTTCTATTTTGCGCAATGTGCTTGCCCAAGCTAATTTATGACTTTGATAAAAATATAGCACCTACACACTAATATGATTAATATCACACATAATAATGTAGTTTTCATAAAAAATAGTTATTACAAATTTAATGTTTTTCGCGAGTCTACAAGTTCATTCCGACTGCTAAGAGCTTTTAGTTGCCACTCGAACGCCCTGCTACACATGAAGAGAGCTTTTTTTTTTATTACAAGTGCAATTTCTTCGAAGAATTTCTTTTGTCTAATTACTGTAAGAAAGTAGTAACAATTTCGAAAATAAATCACGAACAAAATATTGATATTTATATAACGTATCGATAAATTACCGAGCCGTGAGTCTTTTTCTTCCACACGCGCAAATAGCCGGGACGTGCCCGACCGTCGAGTTGTGTTTTAGCGCAGAGGCACAGGCTTTATATTTCGTTTTTAAAATAATTGGCCGTCTATTTCATGGATAAATTGTGAAGTGGAATTGAATTGCAAGCGAGAATCGATTTTATTTCTCCGTACCAACATTTTGTATTCAGCTCTCATAACGCTAATAATATTTCAATGAAGCCCTTTTCAAAGAGCACTCCATATCGCACATATAATAGTATTATTAAATTACATAATATGTGCACCGTAGACGTCGTTATTGGACCGATGGAAATATTTTACTTTTTAGAGAAACTGGAAAGTAGAAAAAAATAATAGCAATTCGCGATTTTCTATGAAAAGCACACAGAACCAATAGCGGAGCAAGGGATTCCGAAGGAAGCAATCAAATTGATATAAAGATGAAAATTTCTGTAATATTATATATATATATATATATATATATATACTGTAAGGGGTATCTACCCATTCGTAGTAATTACAGATAAAAATATAAACCACTATAACGGTCAGAATACAAACTACGCAGAATGTAGTGAATCATACATGGTGGCAGCGGTGGGGTGTCAATGACAACAAATATTTATATATATTGGAACTTTTATTGATCAATTATCAGAACGCAAAGTTGCTATGTAGTACAAAAGTGATGTGCCTAATTATCTTAAGAGCATGTACATTGTAGTGTAAATCTGTCTTTTTCTTTCGCTCACTTAATGTTTCACACATCAAACACCCATAAACCAACTTTCCTCTTAATTAGAAAAATAATTGTATCTAAGAAAGTATTTAAAACAAACCGATAAATACGATTAAATTGCCCATAAAAACCTTTCGCTGTAACAAAAATTCGACCCCGTCCCTGCGAAATTTCAATTACACGGCCATCAAATGCAAGGAAATCATTAATCAGAACAACGGAAAAAAATTGTGCACCGTCTGTCGTGATTTCCCTCATACAATGACGAATTTTCTGCAGTTAAGAGAGAGTCTGGCTTTTTTTGAAGGCAAAAACGTCATGTTTGGTGGATTTTTCCCCTTTTTTCAACGATCAGCCACCAGTAAATATTTCACTCCCGATTCCGCAAAATATAGACGTTGATGTATGATGAAATAAACGTAATTCTTAATAAATCATGTAGGTAATTCACAAATAAAAACAGACAGTTTGATTAAAAATAAGTTATCAATGTTCAATTTAATTGGTAAGAATTAAATTAAACATTGATTAAATTAAAGTAAGAACATTTTTACCACATATTTCAAGGCTAAGATTTTATTTTAATTCAAATAAATTGTTAATGTATAGCAAATAAAATTTGAATTTTGATTATATATATATATATATATATATATATATACGGAACCGGACATCTCATGACATCGCAGAAATATGGGAAAATCAATGTACTTTTACGAGGAAAATTGTCAGTGAAAATTTATGACCGAGTACGATATGTGTTTAATGGTCTTATACAAGGTTTATTTCTGACCGAGTGGAGATTTTTTCTCTTTAGATATATTGATTTATATATAAGAGCAAGTTTCTTGAACTTGTCATCGTACATAATAGGACATAAATAATCGGAATGGAAATATCATTGTGCGTTTGATAAAGTATTGTTTTGTTCATGCTTTTTTATTAACTGGATAATCTTGGTTAAGTCTGATTTAAAAAAGTACAATAATTATTATGGCTCTCATATCAATAACTGACTCATATCAGAAATATTCAAAGCTTGAAAAATATCAATGTTATAAACATTCATTTTTTGCTCTGATCTTCTAAATTGATCATTTTTGTGAAGATGCATTTTATTATTAACTACGTTGCCTATTGTTTGTATATTACAAGTTCCTATTTCTTCTTTCCAGAGCCGATTTCCACCGGGATGTCCGCATCTTAGGAGCCTTGGAAGACCCTCACATCGCTCGTGTTTTAGGAGCCTGCTGGGATGAGCCTTTGGCCGTCGTTTTAGAATATTTAGAACTTGGTGATCTTAGAGCATTCTTGTTAGCTTCCACTGGTCCAGGAGCATTAGAAGGACCTCCTGCTCATTTGGCATCTGGTCAGGTGTTGACACCACACCATCTGCTGCATATGGCAGCACAAATCGCTGCTGGGATGAGATATTTGGAGAGCCTCAATTTTGTGCACAGGGATTTGGCAACAAGGTAAGGATAATTGATAATTGATAATAAAGAATTTACGCAGTTGTATAATATTTTGGCAGTGTTTCCAATCAGGGCAACACTAAAATATTTGTATTACACCTTTCTATTATTAATTTGAGTCTTTTCCTTTTTTTCAGAAATTGTCTCGTCGGAAAAGGTTACCAGATCAAAATCTCTGACTTCGGCACGGACAACGAACTGTATGCCGGCGACTACTACAAAGTGGACGGATCAATGCCCTTACCGATCAGATGGATCGCCTGGGAATCTGTCTTTTAGGCCGATACACAACCAAAAGTGACGTCTGGTCATTTGCTGTCACACTGTCCGAAATCCTGAACTTAGCAAGACGACAGCCTTATGAAGGATTTACAGATCCACAAGTCGTGGAGAATTTGTCCCACATGGACAGAGATGATGGACAATTCGTGTTCATTCCGAAACCGATGAATGCGAGTAAAGATATTTATGATTTGATGTTGGAATGTTGGCGAAGGAGCGATTGTGAAAGGCCTAGTTTTAGGGAAATTCACTTGTTTTTGCAGAGGATGCTCTTAGGATTCAGTACACCAGTTTCGTGAAACGGATAATTGCAATCGATAAAATAAATGATTTACAGTCGCTTTGTTTATAAAGCAAAGTATAACAGTTTTAAATGTATAAGCACATTATTGAAAGTAAATTTAAAATCAATAAACAACGCTTATATTTTTATTTCATTTTAAAATTCCGTGTGAATTGAAGAAGTATTAATATTCGACATAGAGTATAAATCATGTTTTAGATAATAACTTGTAAAATGAAATAATGAACGACTAGAAATCTATCATATTTTGAAATTCTAATAATTTTTGCATTTTATTAATAGCTTTACGAGCGTTGCCTAACTTTAAATTATATAAAATACGGCACTAAAAATAAAACTATATGAAAACCAATATTTATAAATAATAACACAAGAATGGGAACAATA